GAAATTGAATTGAAAAAAATACATATTTTTGGTTCAAGCTCAAAAAGAGCTTTAAAATTATCTAAATTCCGCAACGACTATACGCCCGTAAAAAAAAACCCAATTTTTAAACTTGTTTTCTCCTGAAAATGTCCATGAATTCTTCAAAACTCACACTCCGACATGAACAACGCGCTGACGACCAAGACTATCGTATGGCCACTGTAAATATAATCGCCACAGAGGGTCTTTTCGCCGGCCACGTTCAACCCGACTCCCGCCACTAGTTCCACGCCTCGCAGTACAACCTTCCAGAAGGTCGCGTTTTCTGCCTGGAATATATGTTTGAGCGAGCGAGGAATAAATTTTTAAATAATAAAGATTTTTCTTTCTGATGCCGTGTAATTCCGCAAAATTCAAAACCATCTTCGTCTCCTGATGATTCAGTTATTTTAATCAGTCTCTGACGGCATCTTGAACTTCGCGGAATCACTTTGAACAAGGCATGAAAATTATTTTTCAAAATGTCGATTAACGAACAAGCTTCGGAGCGCAATGCCAGTTAGGATCCGCTACGGGGACCTGCGTGACGATCATCGTCACGCAACGCATCATGTAGAGCAACGAGCCGATCGCCGCCAACCGCCGGAGCATTATCCATCGGTGCCTGCAAAGATCAATGATTGAACGAACGAAATTCGTAAGATGATATTATAAAAATAAGTTTGTTTCATTGGGAAAAAAAGAACTTGTATTGATAGTCAAAATTTCATGGAGAAAAAAATAACTTGTATTGGTAGTCAACAAAAATAATTCGAAATGAGGGAAAATACACAGTTTCTAAACAGCCTAACTGACATAATTTTGCTATTTTTCAATATTGACCCGTTTCTACGGTGAAGGCGTCATACTGTAGTCTTCAATTTGAAATCGGCAATAAAGTGCTCAAAAATAGTGAATAACTTAAAAAACAAGGGAATCGAAAGCAAAAAAGAAAAAGAAATGGAAAATTCCGATTTTTGGAGAATCTTTCGAGCGAGAGAGCGCAGAGAAAGAAAGAGTACACTGGAGCGCAATTAACCGACATTAGGGTGAAGTTTTTTTTTTCGTTTTTTCAAGGTTTTTCCTGATTTTTATGAACCTTGTATGATAGAGACTTATGAAATAATTTTATTCCCAAAGAACCCTTTATTTTATCACGGTGTTCCCAAACGGGGTGGGGAGACGTCAAAAAAAAGTTTGGCGCGAAATTTGAAATCTACAGTACACAGCCCAAGGCCAGGCTTGTACGAGGGCCGGCCCGTCACCCTCCCGGCCCCCCGACCATTTTGTAAGCCCGGCCCGGCCTTAGCGGGCCTCTAGGAAAAATGGCCCGCCTGGCCCGAATCGCGCAATTTTTTTCTAGTCGGATATCAAGTTTTTTACGACAAAAATTACGTTTTTGCTCATTTTTTTTCTTGAAGTTTAACAAGAACTATGATTTCAGAAGTGAAAGTCACATTTCGGAGAAAATTTTTTAAATGAAATTTTAAATTTTTTTTTGAAGCCCGGCCCGGCCCGAGCCCACGCGGGCTTTTTCCTGAAAATGAGGCCCAGAGCCCGGCCAGGCCGGCCCGTGCCGGGCCGCCTGGCCTGTCGCCCAAGCCTGCCCAAAGCGATCGAAAAAACAAGTTAATAACGTTTGATACTCCGTGCATTTTATCCGTAGCGCGCACTAATTTTTTTTTGTAAATTCAGAAAGTTTGACGCCTCGCCACCCCGTTTGGGAACGCCGTGTTTATGCTCATATTTTCAAACCTTAAACGTATCCCTATGTTTCCTTTCAAAACAGTTCAAAAAATTTAAAAATATGAAGTCAAGAAATGCCATTTTACCTGTGAACAATCATCAAAACCACGACAGATGAGAACGAAACGAGCATGAGCCATTCGCAAATCGTCAGGCCGGCTTTATAATAGGGAACATTGTCGAAGACGATGTCTGGTAGCGGCTGGGTGAGGGGATACTGGAATAAAATTGATTAATCGATCAATTTATTGAATAAATTGGAACCTTCTCATGGACAAAAGACAGAACAATGTCGTTGAGTACGGCCGCGCACACGAGCATCCCCACGGCTACCTGGAAAACTTTTCTGTGAGGAAATAAATGATTTCACAGTTCCGTTCATTTTTTAAAGCTTTTTTATAGAATCTCAAAAAAGATGTGGTAGAAAAAACCAAAAAAGATGACGTCATAGATCACCGCCTTTCCAAGAAATCTTCACGATGAAAGAAAAACTCATTCTTCTAGATGAAAAAACGTCATTTTTTGAGAATTACGAGAAATTTGAGAAAATTTTTAGTGGACTCTTTAGGGTTTTAGTGGCTACTATAGTGGTCTACTTGATCCTTCATTAATTGTTAAATCTCTCTGATTTTCTCTTCAAAACTGAAATTTGCTGTAGTTCCAACTGATCACTAAGTAAGAGCTTGAAAATCGGGGAATTTTTTCGAAATTTTTTTTTAAGTTTCAAGAAACCCTGGCAAGAATATGAGGCCGAAAAATTAAAATTCACCAAAAATTCACCAACTTTTTTTTTTCATTTTTCAAAAGCTGCTCATAAAGGAAAACTTGTAAGCCAAAGTGTAAATTTCCAAAAAAAAACTGCTTCGAAAATCCTCTAAGAATCCTTTCTATCAAGTTCTCACTCTACTAGGTTCAGATTTCGATTTTCAAGTGAAATGACGTCATTCGAATATGCTCCGTGGAAGGCTCGTTCTCTAATTAGTTTATCGCGCCAAAAGGGGCGGAGTTTGAGCGACTACTTGATTCAAAATCTGAACATACTATAGAAAGCTTCTTGGACAAAAAGTTGTCTTCTATAGTCAATGTTTCCCGACTTGAAAGGCGAGGGAGGCGGGGCAAGGGGCGGGACGCGTAGCGTGTGCGTTCGCGGTCCTTGGCACGTTTCCAATTCAACCGCCATCGACTCTTTGAAAAGCCCGTTTTTTTGCTCTTTTTCATACCTTTTTTTCAATTATTTATTGATTATATCCATGTTTGCATCAAAAAAATAGTAGAAAAACATTGAAATAGAGCGGTTGCCGAGATTTTTTTAAATAGTCGGCGGCAAATGAATTGAACTCGTGCCAAGAACCGCGTACGCACACGCTACGCGTCCCGCCCCTTGCCCCGCCTCCCTCGCCTTTCAAGTCGGGAAACATTGACTATACTTCGAAACGAAAAAAACGAACCAGTGCGCGGATCTTCCGTTTGGGGAAGCGATCGTGGGGCGACGACGGCTTCTCGCCGGGCATCTCGATTCGGACCGGCTGAGTCGCGGTCGCGTCCGCAAGCAGAGGCGCGTCGTCGGCCGTCTCCGAGTCGGAGGAGCTGGCTGCCGAGCCGCAGAAGCGTCGCGAGCGCGACATTTCGCCCTCGATGGTCGCTCCGTGGTTGACGCGGCCGCTGCCGCCGGGCATCTCGTCGTCGTCCATTCGCTGCGGCGACTGCTGCGTGTTCGCCGACGCGACACCACCTTGGCTGTCGTTGTCGCGGCTCGCCTCGATCGCCGGCGATGATCCAAGGTCCGCTGAAAACAAATTATTGATTGATTAGAGTTCTTGAAGATTTAAAAACGAACAAAACTATAAAATATTGTCCTGAGAGCTCTCTGGGTGTTATTTAAAAGCATAGAAAAAAGTCTAATTGCTTTTTAAAATTTCTTAACTTCGGTTCTGCTCCACTGAAAATGACAGAAAGCTGTTTTTAACTCATGAAAGAATTTTTAAAAAAATAAAAGAGCAAAAAGAAACTCATTTTTTTATAGTAACAAAGAAGCCTAATTTTTTTGAAAAAAACTTGAAAGAAGAGTCTTTTCAAAAACCCGCCAAAAGTGAGAGAACAAAACGGAGAGGGCACAGACGACGAGACGGTTTTTCGATCTTTGTAGATTGAAATTTTCAAACATTTCTGTTCAAATTATTAATGAAATCATTTAATCTTTCCTTAAATTTGATTTCTAAATATGGAAAAAAGCGAAAGTATTAGGAAAAATTGGAAAAAAATTCACTAAATTTCTTGAAACATGATAATCGAATTTCTACAAGAAGTCTGTAAAACCAATAAAATCCTTGCAAATTTAAATTTAATGAGTTTTTTTGAAGTAAAAATTTACCAAAAAAAATTAAGTTTTTCGGGGTCGAAATTAACATAAAAAAATCACGTCAAAATAATGGAAAATTTCAAAATTTTCCTATCAAATTTCAAACTTGAGACTTTTCTTAGTGGGATAAATACCATAAAAAGCTCAGAACACAGGAAAAAAAATATCAATATTTTTCACCAAAAATGGGTATCGTTGTTATTTTCTAGCCAAACGATCAGAAATCAATGATAAATTTGCTCAACGTCACCAAAAAAAACGAGCCAAAAACACGGGAAAAAGGGGATGAAAAGGAAATTTTCAAATGGACGAAAGAAAAAAACTGAAAAAAAAACGGAATGAGTCATATGGGAGTAAACGGTTTTCGCGTCATAACACACACACGAATCGCGTGTGTGGCGGAGAGGTCAAGTTCCGGTTTCTTTTTACTTATATAAACTTTCGGTTGGTCGGATTTCCCAACATGTGGGTCGCCAGAAAGTTAGGGAAGGTTGATGAGGAGTTGAGTAAATAGTCGAAAAAAGCTCTGAACTTTAAAAAAAAGGGTTTACTGATAGTTGGAAAGGTAAATAATGAAGATAAGCCATAATGTTTGAAAATCAACTTTTTCTTGATACGGAGTAAAAAAAAACTGGACAAAAATCAAGTTGATGCGCAGTTAATTTGACAAGGAAAAGCTGTCAACTTGGAAGAGAGGTTTTTGAAGTAACAGGAAGGACTGAACTATGTGAGGTAAATAATGAAAATGAGAGATATTCTTTGAAAATCAACTTTTACTTGATACGTAGTGAACCGTACTGAAAAAGGCCCCGATAGTCGATGCGCAGTAAATTCAACAACTAGAAAAAGCTCTGAACTCTAAGAAAGTTGTTTAATGTAATGAGTAGAAAAAAATGTAAATTAGTAAGGTAAATAATGAAGATAAGCCATAATATTTGAAAATTCAACTTTTACATGATACGGAGTAGAACGTACTGAAAAAAGACCCTGAGAGTTGATGCGCAGTTAATTGAATAACTAAGAAAAGCTCTAGCTTACTCAGAAAAATGATACAGAGTGAAAAAGCACAAATAAAAGATTTTTAGAGTGATTTAAAACAGTCTGGATAGGTTCTGAGAGTTGATGCGCAGTTAAATTAGTCAACAAAGCTCTCTAAACCCTTAGAAAAATTGAATAAAAATATAGAATTAATTATAAGCGTCTAAAAATTGTGTAGACTAGAATAACCTTCTTAACTTATTTTTGAAGTTTAAAAAACTTCGATAACCGCAGAAAATAAGCTCAAGAAAAGTTCAAACAACAAAAATTGACGGAAAACGTCTTCAAAATCAATAAAAAATAACAAAAAATGGTTTGAACTCCGAAAAGTCACTTTCTCTGAAAAAGACAACATTTTGAGACCGGAAAAAGGCGTCAGATTCGGCAACGAGCGGTCACAGAAACCTTTTTTCTGAGACAAAGGAAAAAAGAAGAAAGGGCGTTAAATCGAGCAGAAAAAAAAGGAGAAGAAAAATACTACGATGGCCGGAAGAACAAAGCGTGAGAAAAGAGGAAAAATGAGTAGTTTTGGTCCCAACAGAGCAATTTTTCGAGTGTTTGGGTTGAAAATGGGCGTCAACTTGCGATTTTTCGTTTTTTTTTTAAAGCTCAAGATAGATATTTAGCTAACATTTTCCAAGCAAAACTACCGAGTTTCTGTGAAAATCTTCATTTTTTTTTCCCACTATTTCGTAAATCGTTCCAGGACCTTTCTGATTTAAATTTAACCAATCCTTTTGGTTGTAGATTGAATTTTTCGACAAAATTCGAACAGTAGAGAGTACAGTTAAAAAAAAATATCAAAAAACCAGAAATTTTCTGATTTTCATTTCAGATCAAGGTCAAAAATAAGTAAGATTCTGATCCAGATCTACAAAATTTTCAAAAATCGCCATTTTTTAAATTTTTTTCCGGAAAGACTCTGTTTCAAGCTTATAAAATCGACTTCTACTGAATCTGAAAAAATCCCTAGAAAGAAAAATAAGCTTTTGAAGCTTCGAAAAAAAGTTTGGATGCCTAATAAAACTTTTTAAATACCTTTGAAGCTCAAAAAAACAGCTTCTGAAAAATTTCAGGCCAAAAAATACAGATTTAATAAAAAATTACACCTTGAAAATCTCGTGAATCGAACACTCCGAAAAATTTCAAAAACTTCTAGAGAAAAATTCTGGAAAATCCCTTGAAGAATCGCTTCCAAAAACATCCTAAAACTGTGAAGAAACTGAAATTTCTCACCGATGGCTCCATAATTGGGCAGGATACGCGGAGGAGGGGTCGACGCCATGGACGGAAATAAACAGAGGAGAAGAAGAAAAAGAATGAGGAGGTTCCTTTTTCTTTATCACTTTATCACTACCGACCCGGGAACGATCGATAGGTTTTCCTCCCGCACAAAAATATTCTAGACCCACGTTTTTGGAGCAAATCAGATGACTTTCTTTGATAAGGAAATAATTAATCTGGGACCATTTTTTCAAATGTTTCAAAGTCTGGTTTGAAATTAGGAAAGCGGAGACAGCTATGGAAAAAGGAGTTGATGCTCAGTGAAAAGTTGATACGGAGCCAATTCAATCGGTAATGAGTCGCTGCTCAGTCAAAAGTCGATACGAAGCCAATTTATTAAAAATGAGTCGCTGCTCAGCCAAAAGTCGATAGGGAGCCAATTCTATGAAAAAGGAGTTGATGCTCAGTTAAAAGTAGATACGGAGCCAATTCTATCGGTAATAAGTTGCTGCTCAGCCAAAGGTAAATACGTAGCCAGAATTCTACAGAAAAGACACTGATGCTCACTGGAAAATTGATACGGAGCCAACTAATTGAAAATGCGTTGTTGCTCAGCCAAAAGCGGATACGGAACCCGAAATCTACGAAAGTTAGTTGATGAACCGCCACACGAAGATACCAAATATATTTTATCAGAATTTAGCTGATGCTCAGTGAAAGTGGATACAGAGCACAAACGACCGGTAAAATGAAAAAAAAATCATATTGTGATGAGTGTGGACAAGACCTATTGAATATCAACATAGCGATGTGATAAAATTTCAGGCGAGAAACAGCAAAATGATCTAATAAAAATAACCCAGAAACCTAATTATTCAAGCTGATGCGCTGCCAAAAATCAGAAATTTCACCACGTACTGGGAAAATTTTTAGTGACCACTATAGGGTTCGGACGTTTTAGTGGCTACCATAGTAGTCAAGTTAGTGGCCACTTAAGGGCTTAAAAACTAGTGGCCACTATAGAGGTCTAAGTGCTACTAATAGACCACTAAAAATTTTAGTGGCCACTTTAGGGGCCAATAGATCAACATAACTGGCCCACTCTGTTTGTTTTAAAATTATCAGAGTAACTTGAAGGAATACTGGATGAGAGACTACTGAAGTAGCCACTAAATAGAGAGCCTCTATAGTGGCCACTAAAAATTTTCCCGGTATCTCCCTTGAAACTTAACATGCAACGAGCGTAAGAGAGAAGAGTTGATAGTAGGCTTATCACTCGCCTGATTGAGCCAAAAAACTGTTCCGCTTCGAAATTACACGCCCTTTTCATAGGTTATGGTAGCAGTAGATAAAGAGGAAAGGTGAAATCGAACAAAAGGTGAAGAAAAGAGCAGAAGGTTAGTAATCAGTGAGGAAGAAAATGACGATTTTCCTCTTTTTCCTTAGAAGACAGGGTATACGTAGCAAGACTTTTTGTTATTTTTATAGTTGATGCGCAGCCAAATCGAACGTCAAAGATACACCAAAATTAGCTTCTCGAGTTGATGCGCAGCCGATATGAAGCTGTAAAAATAAATTAAATGTTTTGATACGCAGCGAAATGTTTACCAGTTGATGCGCAGTCAAAATGAGAAAACATAACTTTTAAGGAAAAGAAGAAAGCAGATGAGAGCAAAACTTGGAACTTTTCAAAGTTGATGAGCAGTGAAATTCCGCAGCGATACGTAGCGAAAGCAATGAAATAAATTAAGAACCTCATGAAGGTATTACGGTAACCTCAAAGCTGATACTGAGCCGAAATTTCGAGGAATATTAAGCCAAGTCGATGCGCAGTCAATATTGAGTTATAAAATGATACGGAGCCAAAAAATGACCCATTTGGCGTTGAAGCGCACTTTCAAAAACGCAAAAAGAAAAATTCAATATTCGATCAATTTCAAAGCAAAAAATGACGTTTTGAGAGTTTCGAAAAGCCTGATTCGATTGAAATCGATACATATGAGATATATGATTGAGTGATAAGATATGATACAAGGAAATCGCGTGGCCAAAACGAATCTCTTGTCTACAATTTGGGCAAAGACGGACGGTCTGAGAAGAAATATATGACCTGAAGTCGGAAAATGGGCAGAAAAAGAAGGGGAAGAAGAAACGCACAAAACAACCCGCCACACATTACACAGCCACAGGTGAAGTTCGTCGAAAATGGGCAAAAGTGAGAAAAAAAAACTGTTGGAAGATGAAGAAAGTTTCGAAATTCCTTAGGGAAAAAATAGCTTGGATTATTGAGGAATGTGCGCTCCAATGATAAAACTACTGACGCCTGGACTTCGGTTACGCAAACCGAACGCGCTCCGTAAGTTTCTGAGCAATTATAGTGACCACTTTAGCGGCGTCTCTTAAGTGATCCCTAGAAATGCTCAGAAGCGTCCGGTGTGTGTCCGGTTTCCATTGGCCCAAGCATATGGATCATGTCAGTAGTTTTATCAATGGAGCGCACATTCGTCATTAATTGAAGCTATTTTTTTCCTGAAGAAATTCAAAAATTTTTTTCCAACAGTTTTTTTCTTACTTTTTCTTTACTTCGACAAACTTTCCTTTTGGAGCTTTTTCTTAAGACGAAAATATAGATGAACTTTAAGGCTTCATAACTAATTTATTTCTCTCTTTACAGAGAAACTGATCATATCAATCGATTCGTCTCATTATCAGCTTTCTAATGATATAAAATTTCAATAATTTTTCGAAATTCAATCAATATTTTTTTCGAAAAAAAATCTCGAAAAGTTGGTCAGAAATGGCGTTTTTTTCTCAAATTCAGCTCACTTACTTTGAAATAAAAAGCTCATTTCTGGCGACTTTCCAACCTTTTCTCGAACAATTCTCCCTCTAATCTTTCCCCGAAAGGAGCCCTGATTAAAACAATCGAAAAAAGCGATAAGAATCTTCGATAATGTCGCGACATTTTCAATTTATAGCGTTTTTTCAATACCTTGCAATTTTCGGATGGCACTTGGTAATGATAAAAATGTGTAGGATAAAGACCATCAAAAATAAAAAATTCGAAAAACTCGAAAACATTGATCTTGAAGGAAAAAAGAACGAAATTCTTCAAATTTCTTCATTTCAAACCTTTTTTCACTCTCAAAATTCTCATTTTTCTAAGAATCACATGATTTTTGTTTAACAGAACAAAGTCCTCCATCTTCAAAAAAAACCAAGATCGCTAATAAATCAATCAAAAGGCTGGCGGAAGACTGGGAAAGGTTCAGTTTAAACAAAAGTGTTTTCGAACGGGGAAAATGGCTAAAAATCCAAAAATAATATTTTCGTTTCATTCTACGACTTCCTCGTTAAAGATAGGTCAAATAAATAGAGAAAAAAAGTCGAAAGATAAAAAAAAAGTGGGTAAACTTTGAAAAATTCGAGAAAAAAGGGTGAGGCGATCACGCAATGATGGGTAAGTGTAATGGCGCCACTTGAAGAATTTCAAAATTCGAAAAAGGAGGAAGAAGCTGATGCGCAGCTAAATTTAAGAGATACGGAGCCGAAAAAGCTCAGAAATAGTCAATTTCTGGTTGATACAGGAAAACGAAGAGAAGCTGATGCGCAGCCAATTTTAAGGGGTACAGAGCCCAAAAAATCGAGAATTCAGCCAGTTTGTAGTTGATACAGGAAAACGGGAACGGAAATTTAAAAACTTTGTGAAAAAAAGTTTGTTAGAGCTGATGCGCAGCCAGAATGAGCGATATCATGATACGGAGTCAAAAAATCAGGCCATTTCGCAGTTAGGAAACTTGATATTAGGTCGTAAAACTTTGAAAATAATATAAAAGCTGATGCTCAGCTAAATTTAGGGGATACGGAGCCGCGAAAACTAGAAATTCAGCCAGTTTGTAGTGGATACAGGAAAATTGGATGAAAGTTCAGAAACTGAGAAAAATCATCATGGAGCTGATGCGCAGCGAAACTTTGATACGAAGTCAAGAAATTGAGCCATTTTGAGGGTAGGAAACTCAAATTAAGAACCTAAAATCTCAAAGGAAAACTAAAAACCAGATGTTCAAAACGAAAAATGACAATTTCACGCCAAAACCCATTGAAATCGATATAATCAAGAGATATGATTGGGCGATCAGATCAGATGTGATATGATGTAAGGAAATCGCGTGGTCAGAACGAATATCTAGTCCATAAATCCGTCAAATAGACCGTCTGACAAGAAATATATGATCAGCAGTCGGAAAATAAGCAAAAAGTAGAAAATGAATCAGAAGAAAGTTAAAAATTTGATGGAAGTGACGAAAAAAAATAGGGAAGAACAGAAAAAAAAGGAGAAAAACAAATGAAAGAGGTCGAAAAACTTTGAAAATAACAGGAAGAGAGAAAAATATAGAAAAACTGCTTGAAAATTGAAGAAAACTTGGAAAAAAGGAAAATAGAAGAGGTTGAAAATCGACAAAACCTTGAAAAGACCACAAAAAAAGTAGAAAATTCGCAGGAAAAATATTCAAAATGGACAACACTTATGAAAAGGGTCATAAAAGAAGACACACAAAGGTCAAAAATTGAGGAAACCTTTGAGAATAACAGAAAGAAAGAAATAAAAGAGGGAAAAAACTCGAAAAAACTTCGAAAAGACCATAAAAAAAAGAAGAAAATACCAGGGTAAAAATATTGAAAATTGACATAACCTGTCAAAAAAAAGACATAAAAGAACACAAGAAGATCAAAAATTGAGGAAACCTTTGAAAAGACCATGAAAAAAAAAAATAAATTGATCAGGGAAAAATATTTAAAATCGACAAAACACATGAAAAAGGACATAAAAAAGACACAAGAAGGTCAAAAATTGAGGAAACCTTTGAAAATGTCAGAAAAAGGAGGAGTAGTAGGGAAAGATAGTGGCGAGAGACCTCATGTTGTAAACTGAGGGCTCCTCCAGGGACGCCCCAGCTTCTCCCGCTTCTCTCCGAATGTTTTTCCTCTTTCTTCAGCTAGCCGCACAAAATGGCGTTCTTCCGTCGGGCGATTTATAGCCCACCATCATAAAGCGTCTTA